AAACAATATTTTGTTTTAACCCTGAAGTTGTAGTAGGGGGACAAAACAATTACAGAATAAAAAAAATAAAATAAAAAAGAAAAATCATCCCTCCTCCTGCCACTCTCCCCTCTCTCTTTCAAGCCCCACTAACAGGTCGAGCATAGGAATATGGTTGTATGTCACTCCCCTTCTGGTTTCACATTCCCCAACGTTAAGTCTCTGGCTTAGCCCATTGTACCACCTAATCCGCTGTTCTTCATCCTCGTCTTGTACTACTCACCCAATCTGGTCAGAAGTGGGAGAAATTTGCCTTTAAGTCTTTTTGTAGTAGCACTTTGATATCGTTTCCGGTTACTGTTTAGTTGAGTAGTCGAGTAGATTTTAATTCATTAGATTTTAGTTAAAGCACTAAAGGAAAGCTCTCCCGTGTGTGATTTGGTCTGTAAGGACCTGTAGTTGATCAAAATTCTTTATCACAGGCATCACAAGCCCAGAAGAGATGCAGGAGTGAAGTTCCTTTTCAGATCATAAAAACTACGGATATATTTTTCTTTAAACACTTACTGCTGTTTAAATACCTGCCTACCCCTACTTTGGCAACAAAAGGTTTTTCCTACCAAAAGTTACATAGTCTTAGGCTTTAAAAATGATAAGGACAAATCCTTGGTGGTCCCCTGTTTACCCCACTGTCTAATAACATGCTACTGTCAGGGTAACATGTTTGTCACAGAAAGTCATGATTTGGTTGATCTTTAAATAAATAAAATTTATTCCTTCAGTCAGGTAATACTGCACAGGGTCAGCTACAAGTCTTGTAGCCTGAGTAATGACAGTTTTATGACAGTCAAGTTGAATTCCAGTCATCTAGTTTACCAAGACTCCAGCACACAGCCACATAATGTCAGACAACACATTTATTTGTTTTCATCAAGGTTTCTTGTTTTTTTTTTTTTTTATCATCACGAAGGCATATACTATTTACTCTGTATATTACTTGTTTTGTATGTATGTATATGTATAAACAAAAATAAGCGTACATTTTTGCTGAATAAGAAGAATATCAGCAAAGGGCAATGTAAACCATGGTCCATCTAAAACAGGTGAAAGGTGCATTAGCTCACCCTTTCCCAACTCACCCACAGTAACAGATTTGCATAGGCAAAAATGGGATTAGCCCTTAGACAGTGGATTCCTGAATTCTTTATAGAGATGCAAAATCTAGTTCAGCTCAACACAAGTTCAAAACAAACACACATACAAACAAACAAACAGAAATATGTTGACTAGGCCAAACTCTCTTTAACCCCTCTGGTCATATACATAGTCATTTTCTGTGCACATTTTTGTTTACAGTGTTAGGCTTCAAGTAGATCTAAAAACAACTTTTACATTGACAACTAGATGTGAAATAAATTAACCAACATGAGAGGTAGTGAAAAGCCTACAGAGACGTTTGTTTTCTTTTTTATACAAAGAAAAAAAAAAAAACATGTCAGTAAGGCCAAAGCTTCGCAAACCTCCTCCATCCCGTTAGGACACTTCAGCTCTAGCTCGCAACCTTTAATATTTTTCTTTATATATTTTTTAGTCAATAAAACCACAGCCACATTTTAAAGACCCTCTCACTTGGAATCCATGGAAATTTAAAGACAAAAATCTAAACTTAGCGATGACAACTATATCACTTCACATCATCGTCATTGCTTGCAAAATCCACATTTAAAACGCAGGTATTAAAAATAAACAACTGTGTACTTCTCCCCGCTGTGTAAAAGTCACAATAAATTACGAGGAATGGACGCGAGCAGAAAACCTGGGTTTCTACCGTGTCTGTCCTCCTTGTAAAACGCTCCCAGTTTTAAACTCCAGCTTGCCCGTTAGCCCTGGGCAGAGACTCGCGCCAGCTTCAAACCTGCTGGCTGTTAGCTTCCCACAGTTACGAGTATTTAATAAGGTACACACATCTCACAATTTATAAATGTAAACTTGTTTTGATTGCACCATGATTTCAATATCTGGTTGTTGGTGAAACATTCTCATGTTACTTATATAGACTCTGAAAAAAACCTGCAAAAAACAAGGAAATGTAGTTATAGTGTGCAGAAGAGGGATGTGTCTGCATGAGAGCTTTATGAGCGAGTTAAAAAGTTCCAGAGTTGTCCAAATACAAATGTCTAAAATGCTTTCACTTTGTGAAAAGGTAAAACTGTTCCAAGGAGTGAGAGTGAAAGCTGATCTTGCTGTATCAGAATTGGTAAATTACTCTGTATTCCTCTGTTTCTGGTCAACTGGGCGCATGCATGCAGAACTCTTCATTAAAGCAGCCAAGCAATATCAGTTCAAGCCCTTATGGATATTCACATAGCCTGAATGTGAGTACTATATTGCCAAAGGTTAAACAAGAGTATATTTTTAATAAGGAACACTGAAAAACTGTGGCGTGGTTATTAGTTTCAACCTGTCTTCCTGACCATTATTCACAGCAGACAGCTTTTGTACTACTGTGACATCCTGTCTGTTTCTTTTGTTGAAATAAGTCTGGAGGAAACATCAAAATCCCAGGCTCCTGCAAAGGATTTTTTTTTGTATTCATTCGTTTCCTTATTTAGTTTCTCCAACAAAACCTGAAGTTGCAGTTTAGAAACAGTGGCAACAAACAAAAACTTTATATCCTGAAAGGTGTTTATTAATTAACTTTCCGACAAGTGAGACAGAGCCTCAAATTGACATCCAATTGCATTTCAAAGGCCTGCTAGGCGTCGTGCAACATCCGCTCTTATAATTAATCTAGACCAAGCTTGGCACATGAATGTTAGGTAGTTAAAGGAGCCAGAAACATGGATGCCGACATTAATCAGTGAGGAGTGGCACCGTTTCATTGACACTCTAAGATGTGGCACTACTCACCCAAACAAGCCAGGAGGTCAGCTACCTATCGAGTGCTGAATACACTCAGAGGCTCAGTTAATTACAAAAAAAAAGAAAGAAAAAAAAAGAAGCATATACAGCACTCATGCACTGTCTATTGTACATCCACATGTTCATGTGGATGCACATGTTCATGTTCAAATGTTTACATCATTAGAAAAAAAAATCATTTCATGTATTAAAAATGTTAATGGGACGTTTGGCACAACCGCTTAAACTCTCCTCTTTTTTTCTCTGGTAAATGTGTGACTGTACCATAAACACACGGCCGTTACCGTAGCATGCTGTCAAAGTCTGATTAGAAAAACAAACCAGAGTGTGCGCGAGGGCTGGCAGTGGAGTAGAAAATTAGCATGGCTAGCACAAGCATGCTAACTGCTTGACTACAGCATGCTGAAACCTAGACGGCTAGTTGAAAAGGCGAGTGTGTAGCATGACTATGCAAGCTTCTTTTACTAGCCCCGTGTGCAAGCGTTGTTATTACCAACCCTCTTCACTAGCTCTGGTATGAAGAAACAAGCGTCTTGAACAGGCAGTAGCTAACTGAAGGACCACCACACGGCAGAAGGACCAAGGCTCCACAGCCTAGCGACCAGTACTGACGTCATCACGGCATCTCTGACATCGTGTTTGGGACCTGGTTCGGCGTAACTGCTTATAACAGGCATCCAATCTCCGGTTTTTAGCCACAACTAAAGCTAAAGCCTTACAGACAAAAGCCAGGGTTTGATAACCTTTTACATTACACCCGCGCCTGCAATTTCTGCTACTGTTCTTAAAGCAGAAGCGGCTTTCTATAATGCTCAAAAATTCACTGTAAAACACTACAAGGTAAGCCCTCTTTTTCTGCTCAAGAATTAAAAAAAATGTAGATGATTATTTATTTGGATTCAATGTATTTTTTCGTCTGTTTGTTTTTCTCCAGCTGTGTTTTTTCCCCTAGACTGGGCACCTGTGCTTGTCAGGCCTTGATGGTCTGAACTGGAGGGAGGAGGAGGAGGGAGGGAAACGAGGGTTAAAAAAAAAAGGGAGGTAGGGATTGGTGGACAAACTGTGGTTGCTTTCCAGAAAACCTGCAGCAGCACTTGTGCTGCCTTTTCCTGCATGTAAAGGCATTGTGATTTTCTCAGTGGAGAGATTTTTTTGTCTAAAGTTCATGAGTAATAATAATAGATGTAGCTGCCCAACCACAATTCTAGCCCTTACTTCTCCCAGTTAACGAATCCTAAAGAAGGAAAGTGCTTGGATGGACGGATGGATTGGATGGACAGGTGGATAAATGGTAGGTGCTGCAGACACCTTCAAATCTCCTCAATAAAAATACTGCAGTAAGCCTAAAGATGTCAGAAGTTTACTTTTTCCCATCACTGGACACAGACAGCCAAACAGAGATACAGTCCTCCCCGCCCCCCTTAAATACCTCTTAATATTCAAAAACAGTTGCAGTCCGCGGCTTATATCATCAAGCGATCATAGTGATAGAGAGTTGCATGCAGAGCCAGTGTGTCTACTGGTTAAAAGGGCAAGAAATGCCCTAAATCCCACCGACAGATAGATGTCATGTTTGGACAGTGAAGGAATGAAGAGCAAAATTAAATGAAAGACATCTGAGGAATGGGACAGACTTGAAAAAACTAAAAAGTTGTTAAAAATAATGAGTAAAGACAGAGAATATCACTAAGTAAGGGTAAAAAGCATGAGGTCTAAAATATTACAGTACAGGAACAGTGGGCTTGTCCTTTTTGTCTCTCTCTCTCGCACTCTGTTCCCACCTCCTAAGGAGTCTTTGTCCACAGTTAACCAACAGCGGGTCACTAGGTTGGCCATCTCAACTGATAGCTGATACGTGGGTTGGCCAGTCAACCATAATGAAAAGCACAAATTGCTAGCAAAACAATCACTGGCCAGCATTAATGGTCTAAAACTGACCAATAACCACCAGCAAAGGCTGACCCACCTCCAGCGGAGAACTGGATATAAATTGCTTAAAAAATATAAATAAAAAAAACTAACAACCAGCTATCTTGGATGTCACTCGGCCATTTCAACCAAAAAAGAGGGAGAGGTTTTTCCAAACCCGACTTCTGGCACCATAGTAGTATTTGAAGTTTAAGTAGTAGTCTTGTTGGCATTTGATGGCGATGATGGAGGCTGGAGGAGACTAGGTGTCGAGGCAGGTGCGCCTCCTGCTGGCCAGGAGGTCTCTGTAAACAGAGGAGTTGAGGAAACGGGGGAAGGAGTCCCGGTGCATCAGGGTGTAGATCTGGAGTTGGGCCTCCTCGTACATCAGGTTGCTCGGCTCCGCCAGGCTCTGGTTTATTCCTTCTCTGACCCGTGAGTCCAGACTCACCTCGGGTAAGGAGAACAAAATTAAGTAGAAGTGATGATCTGTGGTTTGTTGGGACAGGAAATGTGCTAAGGACTTCAACTTCTGCATTGAATCATGCACCACCCCAGAAAGGTAACCATAATGTTGCGACAGACTGCAACCACTACAATCAGTCTGGTTGGTAGAAATAACATAAACAACATACAGAGTCGTGTTAAATTATAGTATTTACATCAAACAAAAATGAAGTAGAGATACAAACACAACAACCAGCATGCTGCTAGCAGGTTTTTAAATGACAACGATTAAAGTTGTCACTCAAGATTAAGAAAATGCATACACCCCTGTTAAATAAAGTGACTAGGTTCTCTGACTTTACTGTATAAAGACCAATCAGGCTTCTGAGTGTAGTCATACCACAAAGGGCCTTTCTGAGGCATTACAAACCTACCAATTTGAGTAAATGTAAAGTCAGTAAGCAAATAAGCACAAATAACCTGATTAAGCAGAACATCAAATCCAATGATAGATACGGACGTTACCAGAATGGATTCAGTACATTTTAATACCACAACTCTAAAAAATGTGATGGTACTTGTTTTGTTTTTTGGTACCATCAGTACCGTAGCCATGACATGGATTAGTTACTCATCTGCAATAGTCTCGTTTTTTTTTCTTCTCCCCCCCCCACAGCACTGCTGCAGACAGGGTAGTACACGGCCCCGCCCCTCACTAGCAGCTGAACAGATGAACAGCAGCACAACAAATGTGACGAGGCATCTTAAAGACTAATACCCCAGTCTTTATGAAGAATTTTGTGTTGTCATCAGCGTAACTGGTAACATTAGTTGTCTGTTAAGCTATGAAGCAGACAGGAAATGAAGCAGACAAAAGTCTGCAACTAGAAGCTGTGGCACCCTACCTTACCAACTCTGATCAGCAAGGAAATATGGTGCCAAGTCACCAGAAGCCACAGGAAATAAACAGATGAATACATTTGCACGAACCAGTAATGATCTAATTATTATTATTATTATTATTATTATTATTATTATTATTATCATCATTTTTTTTTATAAAAAATGCTTAATTTTGTGATTTTTTTTCCTAAGTGGCATCAGAAATAGTATCTTTCAGGGTGCTGGTGCCCAGTTTAAAATTTTAGTAATGTGAAACCCCAGCTAATAGATTAATTAAATGACACTGAGGAATGGCTAGAGGAACACCGATGTGCAGAATGTGCCAGCACTAGCCTATTCCACAGAGGCTTCACTCCTAAAGCACAGTAACCAACGGATCCTCTGCCAGAGTTACTGTTCCAGACACCACAGTATACCTGCAGAGCTCCCATATCCATGTGTAAAGACCATTTTTTGTTTTTCTTTTGCAAATGAGGAATCAATCCAACTTTAAACTATAGTTGTAAATCACATTAGCACATGTCTGCATAGTAAATCAGAAATAAGAAACCACTGCCATGAACTGTGTTTACAGTTTTAGTTCAGTGACTTCTCATGGCCACGTTTTTAAATTAGTGATGAACCCTACACGAAGTCTAGCTATGGCTGATGGGAAATAAAGTAGTAGCTAAATGGAAAATTTATCTTGGGAATAGTAAAGTGGTCACACTTATTCCTGATAGCGACATGCATTCCTTGGAAATTGCCCTAACACAACTAGTGGAACGAGAAAAAAAGGAAAGCATCGGTAGTTTCATTAGGATTAATTACTGGAGACTACCAAAGCAATCCATACACGAGTTTCATAAATCAGGACTAAAGATGACCCTGAGGAAACAGGTTTGCCATTTAGTGCAAGGTCTTGATTTAAAGTGTTTCGGTTGCGTTCCTGTGGTGGCTCACCTCTTTGGGTGATAATATGGACACATAATCTTCATATATGATCCTGGCCTTCTCATCAACCGCTGTGGGATCCGTCTCCTTTTTCAGCTCTTCACAGGCCAACCAGAAAAGCAGGTTGTCCTCGCTGTACTCAGAACGCAGGAACTGCCTGAAAACCTCCCGGCCCTCCAGCGAGCGCAGCATCATCTCAAAGCTCCGTGCCCACGACAACACCTCCTCTAGGCTAGGGCGTCTACAGTAAAAAAAAAAAAAAAAGACACACTTGTGTTAGATTGATAGAGACACACAAATGGGAGAATAGACAGCTGAACTCACTGTTCTTCAGTAGCTTCAATACTGTCCATCTTGGTGCAGGTCTGCCGTTCACTCCTCTCCATTCTGTCTTCATTCCTGGATCAAAGGAAGAAAGTATTATACTTGCCAAAATAAAAGCCTCAATATATGTCTATTAAAATGGGCATGTTTCTTTAATATTTATGTATACACTTTGGGTCGTAACATTAAATTGACTGTGATAAACATGTCAGTGTTTTCTCTACCCCTGGATGGATTGGAGAAGGGAAAATCAATAATTCATGAATAATCTGTCATTTACATAATTTATGTGCCCTTTAATGGAGCAGAGGAGACACGTGAAGCTAATGCAACATTACCTAAGTTGACTGCAAGTTATTAGATTACTGTTACTGTAATAAAAGCTTCCCAATAGGAACTAATCATCTGCTGCTGATAGCCAGGAAGCTAGTCCTACAATAGCAAAAAAAATGATAACATTGTTTATTCAGGTCAAACTTGTCTAATATTATAATTAAAAGTGTTCATAGGGATCATTATGCTTAAAAAATGATTTCACTTTCACCAGCATGCTACAGAACAACAACAAAACTAAACTGAAACTGCAGGAAGGAAAGGCTCAGGTCGTGAGCCTTTCTCCTCCTTTTTTGGCTTTTCCCTTTAGGGGTCACCATAGCAGATCATCTGCCTCCATCTTCCTCTGTCCCACCAGCACCTCCTTCACTACATCCATGAATCTTTTCTGTAGTGCTCCTCCAACCAAGAAACTCCATCTTCAAAATCCTTTGTCCAGTCTATCCACCTAACCAAAGCACTGCTTCACTTCTTCCGCATTCTCTTCTTTACATCCAACCAACTTGATTTCTCCTCTCATAAAGGATCTTAAGAGCTAGCCAACAACATAAGCGTAGGAGACGCTGGAGTCAAATTTACTCGGTCAGCTACATAGAGCCAGATTTATTTGTAATCCTCTGTCTATTGTTCCATGGGTACACCAGCTGTCAAATAAACCAAAGCGCAGTGCTAAACCTGGGAATTGCTTCATAATGCACAGCATCAGGAGGCAAATAAATGGCAGCTAGAGGCTTATATCAATTATATCTAAACTGACAGCATGCTCCAGTAACTGTCAGCAAGCACAGCCGCTTTGGGTTAATAAACACTTGATATATTTTCGTGTCCCAGCATCTCACGCTGTCTAAACCGTCCTCTCAGTACAGCCCCAACCTTCACTCTCTACACACATCGTTTAAAATAGCAAAGAGCTACAAACAGTGCTGTATGAAAAGTGTATCTGCATGAGTCTGAAACTATTAAAAAGGAAACGGTTATGTGGGCTGTGTTTACTGTATGCCTTACTGTTCAGCGGTTGGGTAGGCTTTCCTGCAGGCCTACATTTAAGTAAATTTGCACTGTGCAGTAGCACTGTGCAGAGGAGTGTAGATAAGAGAGATATGTGGTATAAATTTAGGAGCAGGACTTAGTAATAGCAGATAAAAAATTAAATAAATAAAAAAAAAGATTACCCCACCGGTCAGGACTCATGGACAAAAAGGCAGTAACACATTTAAAGATATCTCGTGTGTCAACTGAAATTTCTGCTTTCCACTACGATTACTGCAAGCTGCAGTTTTATACCATGAAGTCTCAAATGCATAACAGTGGCTTGGCAGACATTTTCTACTTCCTGCTTCTCACTAAGACACCACCTTGATAAAACCTGATAAAATGAAAGCAGCTCTGCTCTCTCAGCTGTTAATTTGTACTCTGTTAAAACAATAAAGCATCAGTTAAGGTCTTTATGCAAACACTCACGGTAGCCTCTGTGTCTATCGTAGCTCAGTCACACTTGCTGAGTCCACAATGCAACACACACTGAGCTGTCTATTTTTGTCCACACCATGGAGGATCTTTCCTTCCTCTTGCAGTCTCTTGTCAAAGTCCCCATTGTGCAGAAGTAATGGGCTAAGCTAGCCTCAGCCCCCTGGCGCCCTCACAATACTGCTAAATATACAGGCTGTTCCTCACAGCTGTTTTGCATGTGATGTGTGGTTGGAAATAGAAGGCACCCCTACCAGAATAGGGCCTTGTGTGAGGGTGGATGAGGAGGGGTTAAAGGGTAAGAGGTTGGGAGAAAATAAAAAGATTAATACTTTCATACACCCCGATCCTCTAAAACGGCACAAGAGATTTCACAAACTCACACACGCCTCTACTTCTCGACTTGGCACGACTGCAAAAAAAGTGACACAGAGAGCAATATGTGCTTTACAAGCAGCTCGTATACTAATCTCAGCAGTGTCACACAGGCTGGACTAACGATCCCCGCCGGCCTCGACACTAAAATAAATAAACATATAGGGTTCTGAGGACAAATTTCCATTCTGGAGATCTGATATGAGCGTCTGACTGAAAAACACACAGTAGAGTCACAGTCCACAGGCTGCCACCACTTCAGATGAAGTGGTGTGAAAAAAGCAGCACATTCACCATTCACTGCCTGAAAACAATGTTTCATTCACTCCCCTCTCGCAGCAAGACTGGAGCCACAGCAAAGCAGCTATAGGAGCTGCGTACCAGCACCTGGCTTTGGTGCCTTGCTCGTGGGCAACATGGTACAGGAGGTTTTATTCTCTAAGGTGAAATCTGTATGTGACAGGATGCTGACTATTTTCTTTTTGGTTGTGTGGGATTCTGGTCCTTCAATCTGGGACAAATGCACATCATCACTGTTTTTTTAAACTTAATGTTTAAAATAAATAAATAATAATGAAAAAAAAATAAATCACCAACCTTTACCAAAGTTGACCTTTTTTTAATTTTACAATCACACAACACTAAAAATTGACATTTTGGGAGAGAGATTTTTAGCCTTTTTGCATTTTTTTTTTTTTGTCAAGCCACTGACTAATACTTCCAGCTTTAATATTAATTATAGCTGAGCCACAATTGACCTGAACTCTTGAAACTGATACTCGGCTGAACTCAGCGACTCCCTGGAAACTCTGTTGGTTCCCCGAAATATCAAAACATATTTTTAACCTGTCTGTTTGTGCTCAGATTTTGGTGTAAGACATAGACAATTTAGAAATGGTGACAGATGACAGGTCCGAGCTTTAAAAAAAATGCTCTCTAGCATTTATGTAAAGTCAAAATAATAGTTCTACTCTACTCTTCTACTCTCAACAAGAAAACAAACACACGCAAATCCCCAAATCTTGAGGTGTTTCTTCAGAGTTCATCGTGCACTTTGACGTAGCAGTCACAGCTTTCCTTCATTCCCCTGAAGCTAAAACAGTGAAAACTGTGTCAGTGTCCTGGCTATCCTTGTGTGTAACATCTGCACTGCTTTGTTAAAAATAATACAAATGATTTTCGTTTATGACTCATCTCCTTTTAACGGCGAGACAGAATGTCAACCAAAAACCCAGAAAACCAAACACATTTCATAAAAGCTCTGAACCGATTTGCATATCATTGAATAGATGATCCTCTACAACCCACCATCGTGGGCAAGACCAAGGAGCTGTCAACGGACCTCAGGGACAAGATTACAGACCAGAACACGGCTGGTATGATCTACAAGACTATCAGAAAGAAACTTGGCGAGAAGGGGTCAACTGCTTGTGTCATTATTATTATTAAATTTCCCACTCGTGGGATTAATAAAGGTATCTTATCTTATCCTTCATGTAAGATCTTGCCTTATGGGTATGGATGATCATGAGGAAGTAGATCAGCCCAAAACTACATGGGAGTAGCTTGTTAATGATCTGAAGGCAGTAAGCAACACCACTGATAACACACTATGCCGTAATGGACTGAAATCTCGCAGTGCCTGTAAGGTCTCCCTGCTCGAGAAGGCACATATACAGGCCCATCTTAAGGTGGCCAGTGAATAAAATGATTCAGGAAATGATTCAGAACAGGCTTGGGGGAAAGTGTTGTAGTCATATAAAACCAAAATTGAGCTTTTTGGCATCAACTTGTTTGGAGGAACAAAAATTCTGAGTAAACAACATCATCTCTACAGTCGAGCACGGAGGCGGAAACATTTGGATTAGGGGCTGTTTGTGTGCCAAGGGTACAGAATGACCTCATCGCATTGAGGGGCCAATAGACAGGTGCACGCCCAGGATGCAAATCTCCCATTCCATCAAATCACTAAGAACCTCTTTTTGATTAAGATCTAGTGACTTTGGAGGCCATTTGAGAAAAGTGAACTTTTTGTCGTGTTCAAGAAACCGACAATAAGGATTTGAGGTTTGTAGAACGGTGTGTTATCCTGCTGGAAACAGCCATGATGGGTTCACTGTGTTCAGTTGGTAACAAGAGGAACAAAATACATTAAGATGTCTCCACCATAGAACCACCAGCAGCAGCCTCCCTGTGAATCCCTGATACAAGATCGGATGGTTGCATGCCTTCATTTATGCCAAATTCTGACCTTGCCATCTGAACGTTACAGCAGAAATCAAGACTGAGCATTTTTCTTCCAATTTTGTAGTCTCAATTTCTTTTTCTCAGTGGTAGCCTGATCTTCTGCTGCTGCAGCTCATTTGCTTCAATGTTTAACATGTTGTGTGTTAAGAGATGCTCTTCTGCATATTTTGGTTGTAAAAAGTGGCTATTGGATTTAGTTTTTTACTGCCTATCAGCTCAATGTGGTCTGCCCATTATTCTCTAACCTCTAGTATTTTCACCCAGAGAAATGAGTTCTGTGGGATCAGTAAATCAGCAGTTTATGAAATACTCAGACCAGCCTGTCTGTCAGCAACCATGACTGTTCAAAGCCCCTTAAATCACCTTTCTTCCCCATTCTGATGCTCTGTTTGAACTTCAGCAGGTCATCCAGACCATGTCTAAATGCACTGTGCTTTTGAAAGGTGATTAGCTGATTAAAATCATCATTTTTTTAGGAAAAAAGATTCATGGACAGCATTGCTCTGCGGTCTCCCAGCACAGGGAGGACTCTGTTCACTGAGTGACAGAGTAGCAAGCTGCCGCAGTCAGTCTGCAGCCGTACACGGTATAAGAGAAAAAAAACTAAAAAGCAATCTGCTTCCAGTAATCCTCGTATATCTATATGCAGCACCACTGTTATCTTTAAGTTGTGCATATGGTGATTTTGCATGACAATGTTGTGTAGTGAATCAGAAACAGCCTGTTGCAGCTGATTACAACTCTGGAGCTCAAAATAACTCAGCAAAGCCAAAGATAGTTTAGGGGTGGCTGCCTGGTGATGAATTAAGTGGACAGCCTGTCTGCAACTAAAGACACTGAAATGCATTAAATTCCAAAAGCTTGGTTTGCATGCTCGTCTAAACCTGCTAATCTTTATTCCCGAGGGCTTAGGTAACCAATGATGGACAATTTACACCGTGTCAGCACTGGTGAGACACAATAATGAGACATTAAAAAAATAAAATAAAATAAAATAACTAAAAAGAAAGAAAATTCAAGGAATAAATGTACATTTATTTTCTGTTTTTGCTGGTCAGTCCCCGGTTTTGTGTTGCCATTAAAAATCATAATTCATTCAGCTGAGGTAAAACTCAGTATCAGTGCAACATCACAGATTGGGCAACGGGATTAAGGGCAGGACAACTGTTTATTATTTCAGGTACCAGGGCTGCATTTTAATCTCTTAAGGCTCACACTATTAAAAATGTCTACACTGTTCAAAATAACAGCACAACACAAAAATGAAGAAACCATTAAGAAAAATAAATAATTTGTCAACTAGCTGCCTAATCACACAATGCTAAAATCCTGTTTGCATTATTGTATGATCAATTCAGACACTGGTTTTGTTCAGTGGTTCCTTTGGGCCTCTTTTGCAAAGGATAAAATCAGATCCTGCTAATCTAAAGCAAAACAGACTGCAGTTATTTATTCTGCTTGTCTGTGCTGCCAACTTATTGCTATGCAACTTTAACTGGCAATAACGGATTTTTTGGCCTCTTCAGGGCTGCAGAGGAACAACAATGACATAACCACCAGACAGCATGACATTGTCAGCACAAAGGTGTTTATTCTAATCATTTATTTAGAGCTACTTAGTGAATAACGTTCTTTGTTTCAGTTCTATGTTGGTCTCCACCTGCCATTTTAGCTGATAAACGCTACCAGCTAGTACCTAACTTGCTTTTTGGTGTTAGTCAGGAAGTATAGGTGCTCAATCACTGCAAGTGACACATTTTGCTTTGTTTTCACAGTTCAATTTAATAAACTGCTAAAAAAAAACAACCAACAAACAGCTGTGTGAGTAGTTATGGTTAGCATGAGATTATGACTTATTTTCCAAAAACATGTTGTGTGAGCGACCTTTACTGGGTGTTTCTGAAGTGAAACCTCAACATCCTTGACCTTTGATCGCAAAAATGTAACCAGTTCATCCTCAGGTCTTTGGCCTAGTTTTGGTTGTGGCTGCACAGCCCTGGTTTTATTATACACAATGACATAGGTTCAAAGTTAGCTGTTGTGGCTAAAGATATCCTGCAACATTACAGCCACAATGAACCGCGTGCGCCGATGAGCCAATGGGAGTCCAGCGTGAGTTGCCATGCCAATTGTTTCAACAGTGGGGGAAAAAACAAAACCAAATAATGGAAGTAAAATGTGCAAAACAAACATGTTTACAAACTCTACCCTCTGGCGGTCATCACGGGCGAGCAGTAGAAACAAACAGCCGTGTGGGCTGTTTCTGCGGGCATCGTCTTTGCACCGTTTACATGCATCAAACTTGATGGCTGACTCAAGTTTACCAGGCCCATGTCACGCACTGTGGTTTGCAATTAACTGATAAGGTTGCTAAAAAGCACATGGTGCGCAGGAAACTTTTGTGCAAAAACTTGAAAAATATTCTCTCAAGGCACCCCTGAGATACTGCACTCACGTGAAGGATGGACAAACAAACAGAATACAACACTGGTGCTGCTTAAAAACTAATAAAGTATAGCATAATATTAGCACGGACTAGTTTTGTTAGTACAGCTTTGCATTTTCTTACCAGAGACACTTGCAGCAGCCACACCAGCAGAGGCAGCAGGTGTTGGGTCGGGGCTGTCCAGGGGCCTGGGGTGGGGCCTCAATATGAGCCGCCTGCCTTTTTCTCATCTCCACTCCACTCACACTCCGGGGCTTCACCGTAAAGAGGACGAGAACGTGCAGTTAAACATCTTATACCTTCAGATGTTACAGTAGATGAGGAAACAAAACAGAAACTGTGCGACAGGTGAATTTATGTGCAGGGGAGAGAGGAAGAGCACTCAGGCAGGACAGTACAGGAACTTCCCTTCTTCATACGTTGCGAGAGTTTCTGGCACTGAGCCAAGTCTTTCACTCACCTTTGACAGAAACTACAAATTAATTTTAACCAACACAGAAAACCAGGATCTGCGTGTCACAAACACAGACAAGCAGGCACAAATTCATGAGTATTCATGAATCAGGTTTTGTACATCCGTTATGTGCAATGATGCATGACGTCAACCTAAAAAGTTATTGTGATCTTTTGCTTTGAAATGACAATAATGTACGATACCGTTACAGGTTTCTCTCCTGCTAATTCCTTCATGTTTGATTCCTCGCACATGCTGGACCAAAAACTTCTTGATCCACGACAGCTACAGTTTGACAGGCTCCAGCCTAAAACACTCACACTGGTGCTCAAGTATCCTGGGAGCACCAACGCCATTTAAAGACGTTATCGTATCAGGAACATAAATGTCCAGATGATTCGATGATGCCATTTGCTGTGCAACAAACCAACGATATCCTAGAACAACAACACGTGTAGTGTTTGCCTGCACTCTCCTTGTTGCTTCAAACTGATTTTTACTCACTATTAAAGATTCTGAAGACTAAAAACCAAAACCCCCTCTGTCAGGTCTTGGATAGTCAGACAAAGGTCATTCAAAGTGTAAAGCAAAACTACGCCCATTGTATTATTAGCATAGTCTAACATAAATAACATTTGGTGTTATTGTATCTCACTGGGGAAAACATCTTGCAGTAATGAAATTGCTGATCAATCATTGCCTCAATCGATGTGATGAATCAGGAGTCAATGAAAAAAATCTTAGAGGTATTCTGTGTTTGTTTTATCAAACTGTCTAACACCGGAAGGAAACTGAGAAACCAAGTCCAATATTGCTCTAAAGGTGCACAGGGAGAAATCAGTTGTCATAATTTTGTAAAACATCCGTCAGCCACTTCAAAAATCACTATAATTGGATATTCAGTAAGCACAGCGCAGTGTTCACTGATTGAATTGGAAACTTTTGCAAAGGTTTTGTGGGCTATTTCTTTGCCGCTGCAGCTACAGCTACAGCTACTTTAAGCGATGCCTAAAAATAGCCATGAGAAACAAAAATGTGCAGCTAGCAATTTTGTAGTCACACTCTGTTCTCCTTTAATTAAAGCCATCTTGGAGAGTGCTTTCCTCTCAGTAACAGCGGAATAAAAATATGGTGGCTACCTCTCTGTGACTGAATGAAAAAGAAATATTAATAATGAAATAAAATAAATAAATCGGTGGTTGCCCAGAGATTGCACTGAATTCTTCTGCTGTGGAAGACTGACTGCAAGTAGTTGCAGTGACCAGTGCAATACTGTCAACTTCACCTCATGCACAGGTCTCCAAAGTCCAACTTGGACTCACTGCAATCATTCTTAGAAAGATTGGCAGAGGTTTCTGTTTCAAATCTGTGAGGTTTTGAATTTAAATTTCTGTGGATGCAGAATTGGAGAAATAAAATCACTTTTACCGGTAGCAGCGACGAAAATTTATCTGGTGTGTCTCATCAGTTTTGCATAGGCAAATGAAAGCATGCGAATACTGGAAAAATGTTAGCAGTTATTCTTACAGTCATGATTTCTTTACTAATGTACCACAACATGGGGAAAAAATTAATAAATAAAAAAAAGTACAAATACATGGGGATTGCCATGAGTCTACAAAATTACACTATAGACTAGTCAGTGGGCTCCTCCATGTCTCTTCTGAACATATCTGATTTGCCAGTAAGATATTCCAGAGGAAAATTGCAGCTCTTTAATAGGAATTATGCAAATTTTGGGGTTAGAGGTGTTTATTTTTAGACAGTTTTTTAAGGACTCTTTTTTGAGAAGGCCATTCTCAAATTCCATTATCTAGAAAAGTACCTAAACTTATTCCTTCAAAATTCTTTGGGTAAATATCTTGTACTACGGCTCTATACACACAGACTTTCAGGGGTGTAGCTCATGTTAACACAGAATGATGAATCTGTAGGTGTGTAGAAACCACAGTTTTGCAGATAGAGGACTGACATTTTGTTTGCATCTTCTCATATTCACTGCACATAACTTTCTTTAAAACAGTCTAAAATGAGGAGAATGGTTTCACAGATAAAACCTGGATATGGTGGGGGAAAAAAATTCATCCTACCCTAGTGTGATACCCCAGGTATGACTGACGCCATGTACGAAATCCAAATCAACTTGTTTAGAAACAAGAAGTTTCCCTTATTATATCTAAAACTTCACCTACTCTTATGACCCTTATGCTATTTATCATGTTTACTTGGTGAGCTTATTATACTGGGAAAACCCTTACCTCACAGTGCCATAAGCTTTAACCGTAACGTAAAGCTCAGCTGCAAACATATACAACTAGAAATGCTAGAAAGATGAGCCACGAGGATGGCAAAACTTTAGCTTTAAAGTTTTATGCATTTACTTAGCTGGGAGGGTCTAATCAAATGCAGTATGAGAATTAAAAGTATACTGACTGAAAAAGCACTCCTACCTGTAATGTCATGGTTCAAATTAAAATCTTTTCATAAAAAATGTGAAAATCCAAATTTAAAAAAAAAGAAGAAAAAAAATAACTAATTTTCTTCTTTTTTGTTCCCTCTACAGACGGATAATTTGCTTCAATGAAGAAACATGGAAGGTACGGCTAAAAAGACAAGCCCGATATGCAAATGCTGTCGTCCGTCCAGCGGAGCAGCCATCGGTTATTTAGCAACTGGGCGGCTACCGTGGAAAAACAGGCTGTTAGACGTAAACCACAGAGAGGGTATGGCTTTGTTCCAAAAGCCAAAGAAGGAGGATGCACTGACATGTCATGCAAATGGGGTGGAAATACTAACACAATAACATCAGAGGGCAAAGAAAAAAAAACAGATGAAAAAGATAGCTACAAGATCTGTCATACATGCAGTACATTTTTGCAAATACTAAAATAATACCAAAATAGAGGACGCCATATTAACCAAAACAATCATCATCCAAAAGTCCAACTTGACTTTGAAGCTTCCACTCTGCTTCACCATCAGGCAGTTTTTCACGAGAGCGATGCAAATGAAACTAGCGTCCTATTTCACAAATTAGTGCCACATGTAAAACGCCAGAAACATTTGCACCTTGTGCAGACTTTGACCTCGCATCCGCGCAAGCAGCGTTTGCTTTGATGAGGCACTAAGTGCAAAAAGTAAAAGAACAGAATAATGACGTCACTGTGGCACGTAAGTCGCAGCCTGCCTCCATTCTCACTTTGGTGTGGTAGGGAAAATGGTTAATAGCGTTTTCTTTACAAAAAGACAAAAACAAATAAACCGTTTGTTGAGAAACTGTGTGAGAAAAAGCATCTTACCATTAGTTATCTGAACACAAATCATTTCTAACTCTGAGTTAACAACACCTCGTTTTCAAAGATAAAGAACGTCCTTTCAAGGTGACAGATCATTTTCCATTCATGGCTAATAACCGACTGATATCAAGCACTATATACAAATAACCAGTGGGTTGCTTTGTTTCACTTCCATGAAGAAAAGACTTTTACTAAGCAACATTTAAATTCATGTCCATTCTGAGAATTACAAATGAAAATCAAAACTTCAACTTTAAAATCGAGAAGTAAAAGCCAGTCACCCTTTGCTGCCGACTCATTATCTTACACGATCTGGCAGATGTTGCTTGGTCCGTCAACCTCCAGGACCACAACTGCAAACTTTGGTTATGAACATGAACATATGACTTTTCATTTTGACCCCTTAACCAAAGCATTTGACTTTATATTTCACACAAATTTGGATCCTCACTGTGACAGTAAACTTGAAAATACAAGTTCAGTTTCTGTAAAATAAATAAATAAAAAACAATCTAAATATATTAATTAAATTACTGGGAAAGCGTGAAACTTACCATGAATTAGTGAGTTCCTAAACACAGGTCAGACAGAGCAGTCATGGCATGAGGTAATAGGTTGCTGGATGCTAGCAGGCTGGTTGACGAAGTGACTGACTGGGGGACTGTCTGAGCGTCTTTCTGACTTGCAGGAGATTTGGGGCAAGGCGAGGAGGTTCTTTTCACCACAGGGCAGAGAGGTTACTGGTATCACCATCCCTGACCAACTGGCACAGAAAGGGACACGAGAGCTGAGATGAAATGCGACCACTTCCTCCCCTCGTTTCCTTACTTCACTCGCTACTTCTGCTTCTCTCACCAACACCTCCTAAGCTTCCTCAGAACTCTGTGAAAGGGTCATTTATGGACTTGAGGGTGTAGGGAGCATTCAAAGTGCAGCATCTGTAAAACACAGAACGTGAACAAAAAGAAAACACCATGAAACACAGAAGTTGACTTTAAGTGAAAATGATCAGTCAGGAGAAATATATCCTGCAACGACAAGAAGACAGAAGCAGATACGAGCAAATGCGACACAGAGCAGAACCTAATTTTCATCCATCTAGATTAGGTGTAGATGCCCAGTTGCCCAGTTTTGGAGTTATAAGTGGTAAAGATATCTACTCTTACTTGTCTACGTGTGCTCAATTGGCAAAGATTGCAGCAGAGAAACTAAGCAGCAATGCCCTTTTCTAGAAACTACGATCTGGTTATTCATGTTTCTTGTTGTAGAACTCTTTTCTTTCTACTATCTACACGCACCGGCCAAAATAGATATGAAACTGCCTAACATTTGAGCTCAGCTCAGCTGAGTTTATATCCTGTCACATCCTGTGTCGTTGCCAGGTGTAGTTCAAAAGAAAAACAGTTGCTGCATAAACCTGTGAACACCGGGACTTTTTCAGTCACCGGGCTTTGATTTCTAAAAAAAGATATTGTGTTTTTAATTTTTTAATGTAGTGCCCATTGAAGAACCATGAGGAAGGTGCCAATTATTTACATTAAATTCAAGACAAAGGTAGGCATTTCTTCAGCCAAAACCTCCCAAACTGAGCAGCTCACACCAAAGTAGTCTAGATAGATACGCAGCACTACAGCCATAGGACAATGTAAAAATTTGCATTTAATTTGGGAATGGACTGTATTTTAATATACAATCAATACATGAGAGGGGTTAACGATGACAAAGATCTACTGGTTAATGAGGAAGTCGACTATGTGAAGCATATTCATCTGTATTGAAAACAGACATCAGCTGAAGCTGTACTTTTCCTCTGATGCCTTTGTGCAACAGCTTCCTCTTCTCAGCCACCAACACAGACGCTGATACCATAATACTTTACTTGTGATAAGCTAAAGGATGTGGTTAGAATAAGACCAGTTCAACCAGGAAATGCAGTAAATGGCAAATGATGCTGCGAATGCTTATCTTAAACATTTATGGTGCAAAGCATTAAGCTCACTGGCACTGCAACCCAACACTCAATCAATGTCAAAAGCCATATGCTGGATTTTGGCCCTGAGAGAGGCTGCTGTGTCTCCTAGGTAGCCCTCATGCTCCATGTTCTTCATGCAGGAATTAGTGCTCCAACACCGTGCTTACTCATAACAGCAGCTTAGAGGTGTTCGCACGGTGACCTTAACACTATTGCAAATTATCAGCAGTCTGCAACTTAGAGTGTAAAATTAGCATATACAAAAAAAAGAAGATAAAGATAATATCTAATATTGAAAAGACTTACCAAACAAACTAAACATCTTCAGTTACAGTGGGTTAGCAGCCTTATCAGCTCTGATCTACAGTCCCTCACCCACCCTTGCCTATACATGGCTCATTTCCTCCACAGTGATGTCTAGCAAGATAAAGAGCAGCACAAAGAAGAAGAAGAAGAAAAAAAAAAAAGTATCGAGGTTCACATGTCACTACCATCCCTCCCATATGACACAACATGCTGTCTCAATACTGCTCTACTGTAAAAGCAACGTGAGGGGAGCATCAACATCCGTTCATGCCAGTTTAAACTGGTTTGAAAACAATAGTTTCCCTTGTATATTAAGAATCTATGACAAATTATTTTGCACAGCAGCTTGTTAAGATCAGGCTTTTTCATTGTACTTGTGAGTTTGCTTATTCCTGTTGCGAAGATGATCACCAACTTTAGTGATGTGCTTCCTGAATGAAATGAAGAAAATGACTATGGGAAATGTTTACGACAAAGCTCGGCCCGGTTTGGAATTTGGAGACTGATGCCCCTGATAATCCACGTGAGTGAAAAAAATTCCAATATGGCTAAATCATCCCGGGATAAAACTGCACAGGAATGGCTTTCGAAACACAACAAAGAGCCCAATCTGTGCGCTTTGTTACTGATGACGTATCGAGCCTTTTTCCGGGTCCAAGCTTCTACTGCATAGAGAGCGCTGTCAGTGTTGAAATGCTGCAGTAACACCTCCCTTGATGTTTTTGAATTGGCATGAGCTGTAAAAAGTTGTTTGGTTATTATCCTTATTCTTCTGTACAGCTTTCTGTCTTTTTAAATAGCACTATTCATATACAAGACACCTTTAAGCTACGTTTTGTACAGTACCGATATATTCAGACATTGCTGAGATTTTGGTAGGGAATAATTTAGAACAATCCCACAAAATACTCATTACTAACCTTGTTTTGTGGATGATGTCACCTTATACCTTAAATTAATTTGTGTCTGCTGACTGGGCACCTACAGGTTTGATATGTCAACGAGAGCCCTACAAAGTCATAAAACCTCCCAAATACTTTGCCAGCGCTGCTCTTTTTATATCAGCTTACCGTAGTTGGTCTGAAGCCAGCCTTGGGGCGGGAGGCTAACAACTAGCCTAATTTCACCAACCCTTTGAAACTTCACCAGCACTTTGTTTTTCATCTTTTCATCTAGAATTCATGTAAACTGCTTCTGAATTTTAAATTCACTCAATCTCGCAAACATTTTTAATTGTTTAAAACTGATTGGGACATCTAGAAGAAGAAATACATTGATTGCTTTATTAGTGTTTAAAGAAAAGAAAAAAACCCAACAACAACAACAACAACTGGTGCCTGAATGCTAATTCGCTATTGGGAACTAAAGAAGCTTTTGGTTGCAGAAATTAATAAGTATTCTACACTTAGCAAGAGGATTGACTTGGCTATCAAACTCCCTAAACAACCTTCAAATTAAACATTCACAAAACTCAACGGACCCCCTGAAAAAAAAAAAATCTGCTTTCAACCCTGTCAGACAACTTCACAAACAAAAAGAGCTGCTCTGCTACATGTGCTGCAGACAGTCTAAAAATGACATTAGAGCTGCTCTTTTGGACACTATATGCTAACCTTATTTGTAAATTAATCTTCAAATGCTTTAAAAAAAAAAAAAATGTATGGCTTGTTAACTGTGAATGTTCTGTTGCTCTGTCATGCTTTTAACCAGTGTAAACTGAATAACAGTCCCTGATCAATTAAGGAAGACAAGAAATGAGCCCTGACTAAATTATTAACACACAGAGACATTTATTTTATTTATATATTTATATATAATATATATATATATATATATATATTATATATATAATACACACAATACAATACATACATACATACATACACATATATATGAGAAAGGACATCACTGAATGCTTTTAGGGATCAATTCAAATGTCGATACTAGTGAAATGTCGATACTGGTGCCACCAAGTTTCACTGCTTTCAAGAATAAAAGTTGCCATGCTAGAAGCAAATAACATCAGATGCTGATAGGTCAGCTTGCATTCTGTTAGACCTCTTTGAATGAAGAGTACAGGCCTAATGAGATTAATCAGGAAGTCTCTCAGGATGCAGTTGCAACATAACCTGGGCTCCTCTGACTCAACACACCCATGGGAAACTGCAGTGATGGTGCTGCTACAGCTGTGCACTGCATGATCTCTTAACAGTGTATTACATTAGATAAATAACACACACAAAATGCACTCCCGAGTGAGAAAGTTAACAGGACAGTCGCAGAACGGAATCTTTTGAATCTCCCTGAAGGCCTGTGCATATCTTCAGATATGAAGAAGGCAATCTCATCAGACCTTGCTCTCACCCTCTGTACACTAGCTCTGCTGGCTAGCTGCTCGGCTGGTTTGTTTTGCATGGTTGTCTCCTGCAGCTGCAAGAACCATCTGAGCAGAGACGCTGCAGGTCCGACCAGCCGGCCGGCAGAGGGGATCCCCTCGCAGCTGACACCACCGACGGCTAACGCAGTCAGAGAGGGGGCTGCACAGCGCTGTCAGCCGCACAGACATTTTACAGAAATCAAACACCACCCACTTTCTTCTCGCTAGCTTTAGCAGTCAGCCTGAGATCGGCTATCTCTCGCAGGGAGAGGAGGCGGTGGCAGCTGAGCAGCAGCTAGCGCCGTGCTAACGTCAGCTAGCCAACCCGTGTGGACCCTTAGCGCAGAATAATCACCACCTTACCCCTTTGCGGTGGGCTGTCAGTGTCCTAGGATGATAGGTGTGAAAAAGCGACGTCCCGATGCTTATTTAAAGACATCGTAAATTGGAATCCCGCGGTGTAAAGTCCATCGCCGCTGTTTTTCTGCCATCCGCCCCACTTCAGCACCGAACGCCGCCGAGCCCCTGGATGCACTGCGCAGGCGCGCTGCCACCGCCGCTCTGTGCCCGCAGTTGGTGAGAAGATGCACTGCCGAGGCTGCACACAGTCCGGTCACAGAGGATCATTATCACAGCTGTGCTGCTGCACAACTGAAGACGCCCAGTTTGCTTTAAAAACAATGCTGTATTGGCTTTGGTCAGTATCCTAAACACAAGCGAACACACTTTCGGAAAGCCAGTCAGCCGGTAATAAAGTTAGAAGGCCACCATTCATACAAGAGGAAATGTGTCCCCGGGTTATAAACTCGTAAAAATGAACCATAAACTATCTCACATACAGACTGTCCTGATGTTAAAACAGTTTCCGCAAGAAACAGTTGCTGCACTAAAACAGAAATGGGAACAACGTTTTGCATTATTTCTCTCGTCTCAGCATAAAGCCCCATGCATTGTTAAAGCTTATCAGTGAGATTACATCGACTTCATGAAGCATATGTGTTTAGCACTTTTACAGTGTTAACACAGTATGATGATCATATTATGCTTTACATACATACGCAGACAACAAGATGCTTAAAACACGCACTTTTAAGATACAGCTTGAATACTTCTTAAATAATGCTCAGGTGAGTTTAAAGAAAGACATCTTTAAAATGTAATACATAAACACATAGTGAGGTTTTCTAAACATACATCAATGAAAAATATACTATATTTTATATAATATATAAAATATATAGAATCGATTTATGGCTTTATTCTGTTAATCGCAAGCTTTTCCTGTATTTCTGATTTAGTGTCACAGAATATTTTAATTGTGTTTAATTGATGTTTCCCTCATCACCGTGCAGCCTGTAGAATGCAGGCGCAATCTAGTAAATCTCAGTTTTTGGCAGTAAATATATTTTCCACTTCCACCACACGGGGGCACCACAGCTCTGCTCTGCTTTCTCTCTCTAACACACTCGGTCTTTCTCTCTCTCTTTCTCTCAAACACACACATATGCACACAAACACCTGTTCTGATGCGATGTGCCTCCCTATATGTGTGAACGGAAATGGCAGGAAACATTATTGCTGCTACAGTGACGATTATAGGCTTTGAGCAGACAAATAACTCATTATATGTGCGCGAAATAACAACCCGCTGTGCATAAAGAAGAAACACTTGAGTGAGCTCTGCATGGAAATTGTTCCAGGACTGATGGATTGTGCATTTACTCTCTGGCAGGCCTCCATCTTTATACATCTGATGCACTCAGTGTTTAGTTGTGAGGAACTGTGGTTCTCCAGAGGGACAATTACGAAAAGGTCATGGCTGGGAGGCTAAGATGGAACATGGGAATGTTCCTTGACACCATTTGCTCATTAATAGGGATTTGAAGAGGCCTGGATCAACTCCTGTTTTCTTCACATGCTGAGAGTGATTGCACTGATTTGCATGTGAAAAGGTCAAGAGCCACAAAAGCACCATTCTGCTTCATCGTGGCAAATCTCGAACATGCAGCAGTGAATTTTCTGGCATAGATAGTCGGAAGACAAGCGTGCATGTCCTTAGCTGACGAACAGACGTGTTTGTGCATTTTTATTAATATACCTCACGAGCAATGAATAATTAGGCAAAAAGTGACTCTGCAAACATCTGTTTGGTTTTTCAGAGATAAACAAGAGGGAAAGAAGATTAACCTTTGAGTAACCCGGATGGGTCATTTATGACCCCAGCTGTATATTTATATGTGCCACTGTGATATTTAAAATCATAACAATACTTCAAAGAAACAGTCAACTTTTTTTTTTTTGGCCCACCAGTGTTGCAAAGACAAGGGAAAGCTATTTGGGATCTCTGTATCTGAGGTATCTGTATGTTTTATTTATTTTATTTTATTTATTTTTTACATCATAGGCTGTAATTGTATTTTAGCTTTCTAATCACTACATTGCAATGTTTTGTGGCTTGCCATGGCTACTAGACCTAGAACAAGCTTCAGTGAGATCCAGGAGTACATGGGGTTTGAAAGCCAAGCAAACAGAGCAGACAGGCACATCATGGACAACCTTGCTGCTTTAAGGGATATCTGAACAATGTGTGCGGCCCATTTACCCAAATGATATATTCCTGGTAGGATAAAGAAGTTGTCTATTAGAGGGAGATACGGTATCAGACGATAGCCTCTTTGTTTCAGCTGAGTATGACACCACATATCTGGTGGATCTGTGATGCAAAAATGATTTTAAAGCACAAGTTATTTGGATTAGAACATTTTTAAATGTGTATCAAAGATAAAGGAAACAGTGTAGGCACAATAAACACAAATAGAGACATTAAAATATAATGAATTAATTTTTGGCACTAAAATACTGTGGTTACTTGTTAAGGAGGCTATACACTTCAACAAAAGTGTGGGATTATTGCAGAGCAGAGCTCTTCCTGCTTCTTTTTTACATCATAATTATGCTTTGTGCAACATTTTCTGTGACTTTGAAAAAAGATCATTCATTCTTTGCAAAACTAGTTTTGTGACTCCATGAGTGTGAGTTGTACTTTACCCCCATTATTCTGTAGGAGTCCGGCTTTTCACCACAACTTCCGTTTTTAGTTAATCATTTGACAAATGCCAACCTGACTAAAAGAAAGTACGGTCATTTGCAAAATCATGAAGATTCAGGATGGTACAAATTAAAAATGAAGTTCAAAAATTCCACAGAGATCACTGTTTTCGTTTATCCTCCACATTTTCTCGAACTCCTCTCTCAGCGTTTGGTATTTCTTGAGCGTCTCATGTTCTTCCTGATGTTGCTGCCCCTTGCTATACCTACAAGTTTTTCCATCTGTATCTGGAGGTCCCACAGGATCTTAGCTTGGTCATTCTCAACCACCCTTGAGGCAATGTATCCCATTTTGACCTCCGGACTTCCAGGTCATACTCAGGACAGATGTTCCAGTATATTATGCCGGTCACTCAGGGTCTTGCCTGGTGTGATAGACCCCAGCCTCTATCAATCCTGTGCTCAGAGCTTTTTCCTGTGCTGCCATGTTTAGTACCTCTGTGCTGTCTTTCAGTCCAGCTTTGTCCAGCCATTGTAGGATTTTTCAATATCAGCTATTTACTTTGCCTTGTTTGGTATCATTCTTTTCAGCACAACCTCACGTGTCTGAATTTACAGTTATGTTTTCATTTTGATATACTGTATTAACACAATTGATCTAAAATCAGACAAAAAACATAAAATCAGAGTAGAAAAAGTTATATTTTTTTACTGTAACAACCACAAACATGTTTAATGAATCATATTTCATAACTTTAAATGCAAATATAAATTGTCAAAATTAAAATCCTATGCACAAGTTTTGCAAACAACAAAGTTATTTGGAGCCATTTACCTTTTACCTTGATTTTTTAAATAACCATTTCAAACTATTTACAGAACAATCAGCTGTTCTGATTCAATAAGATGCCACACAAATTATTTGTGCCACTCCAAAAAAATAATTTCTGTCCACTATATGCCTGCCTGATACCTGCAGGTCTGACAGCAGCAGGTGTATCCCTCCTTTTTCTACCTGGAGACAGCAGTCGCCTCATTGTTCTGACACGCAACACTACACAAACACGCTAAACGTCACAAATCTCTCACATCTCAAAACTCGCGCTCTCTCTTTTTCTGCTCTCTCTCTCTCGTCGTCACTTTCCCTGTTTTTTTTTGGGGGGGGTGCTCATAATCAGAGAGTGCTTGCTAGCTCTGTCCTTAGACAGTAAACGTCA